CTTCTTCTTCTTCTTCTACTACTGCTGCTGCTGCTGTGATTATTTTGGCCTCTTTTACGTTGGTTTTCTTTCATTGTAGGTTAGTATTGACCTTTGAAAGCTTTACTGCCACCTACTGACTACAACACACCAGTGGATTACAGCCACTGTCTGTGGAGTTTTCCTCCTCACATTTTTTATTTAGAATTTTATTTAAACGATTTTCAGGATTTTTAAAGTCATCTGTAAATAATTTTTGTATGAACAAAACATTGTTTTTTTTATTTTAAGAAAATGATTTATTTAAATATTGTGTGAGACACTGGCCTAGGTACTACACTTTTTATACTAGATTTCTGACTTGTTTTCTGCGGCTCTTAACTTTGACCTTCCTCCAATGATCCCCCTGGTTGTTTTAACTGCAGACTTTTCTAATGCAGGACAATTAAGACGATAAGATATACTTTAAGATAAACAAGGCTGTTTATCAGAGAGTTAAGGCTCTGTGAATATAGCTTGTGTCCTGGTCTTTAAAGTTTAGTTTTTAAATAATAATCTAAACTTAAAATCTAAAAATAACATTTTCATTTAGTTTCCTTCACAGAAATGAACCAAATGCAGAGTTATAGACCTACTGGGTATATATTTTAGTTTTATTAAACCCCTTAAAATCAAGAAGGCCTCGCGACCTCTGGTGGCACTTTGACGACCACTAGTGGGGGTCCCGACCATAAACATATGGTCCCGGCCCCCAGGACAATATGTCCTTTAGCCTACAATATTCCTGAACATAAGGGGGCAGCAGTGCACTGTTCACCCATGTAAATGAGGCAATATTCTTAAAGGAGTATGCCACCTATTTACACATGAAGTTCTGTTTATTCATCACGTGGCACTGGAGGAGCTTTGTCAAGTCTGTAAAATGTCATCAGGGTTATCTCAGCTTACATCTGAAGACTGCACATTTATAACCGAGGGGCCTGTGTTTCAAACTCAAGGTGTGGAGTTTGGAAGATGTGCGTGTTTACCCGGCAGGGAGGGTCTAATGAAACACACATTGTGGGAAATATAGTTTTGTAGCTACATTAATTATCTCTTATAAGTCACCTAACTTTATGGAATTGCACTCTAACCTACTGGAGAACATCTTGAAGATGTGGGCAGTCGTTATGATCGCTGGGAACCTCAGCTTTGTGAAGCTTTGTAAGGTCACAGTTTCAGTCCTGTAATCTGAGGTGCTGTTATTCTGTGTTAGACACTTGAGAGACTTGTAAATGTAGTTACATAAAGAGTTTGTTATGGCAGTGAGGTGCTGACTCACTAATCTGATTGTGAGAGGACAGGGAAGAGGTAAGGTGAATAAACATAGTTGGTCACATACAGTTTTACTTTACTGGGAGAAGGAGTCCTTCATCCATCATTGGGAGCTCTCATCTGGGTGTCAGTCAATTAAACTGACAACAATCAAACTACTGAACTAACTATGAACTTTGTAGTGAGAAAATGCATTCAGGGATAATGTTCTGTGAACATGAAGCAAACTATATTATGTTGTGTTATTCCATGTTTAATTTTACAGGCTTACAGTATAATGTTTTATGTTCATCCTCATGTATTCACATTCTGGTTGTCTCACGCTAGTTAGGTGAGGTGTTATTCATTGTGCCATGAGCTAAGCACACTCCAAGACCAAAGCTGTCTCATGGAGAGTTGGTCATCAAATGTGTTATGACTACTGTTTATCAGACATGAGATGTCACCAATAGACATCCTGTGGAAAGAGGCGACATTCTTTGCTTGTATCAAGTGTGATGCAAATAAATCTTGCACGTGGAGTGAAACTGTCAATTCTCTTTGCTTTCTGTGAGTCTGTGTCATCATTCTGGGTACCTTCAGTGGGAATTTGTGGTCTCTCACTAAAGTCAGATAGCTAAATGCGAGCTATTCAAGCTCTAACGAAACCCTCCCCTCTTTAATGTCCTCCTAATTGAACAATAGTTTCCAATGTTACTACCAAGATACAAATTCGAAAAATAGCTACTTGTGAGAAAGATTAATTGATTTTAGCTCATATCCACGTATTTGTTACCTTTTCAGTCCAACCATCTGAGCAGGTGGACTTTCCAGCTGTGTCCAACAGAGTGCACAAACAATGTATTAATATGTGGAACATGTGGCTTGTATTTCATGAGACCACATTCAGAGGGCTGACCACCTGTCTTCTCTGTTGGTTGGCTGGAAAAACATTTAATCAACTGGTGCTTGAAGGTTCTTTGTCTTTGACTCCAGCCAGCGTGGACAGACCAAATTAGGTGGTGATTGGGTATTTGCTTCCTTTCTTTTAGAATTTTGGGAGACATATTTGTCAGTTTTTGTTTTCGTCTTTCAAACAAAAGTTTTCATTATAATAATCTTTATGATCATATACACCCAATATTTATATATTTTGATATTATATTCACTGACTTTAGTGTGTTTAGGCTGTTTATTTCTCAATGTCAAATGTTCGGAGGCACATTTATGTCCATAGTCAAATATAGTCTTATATTATAAACATCTTGTTCTGACAGACTGGATGTTTATCATATAATCTGCTTCCTACCACCCTGATTGTTAGACTGGAAGCTGTTTGATTTCTATACATATTTTAATCACATCGGAATATTTTTACATTTAGCAGAAGATAGAAATGTTATGTTATTGAATTTACAGGGATGAAATAAAAACTAAACTTCCAGACAAACAATGCCAGCTAAAACTATAAAGTATGAACAATTAGCAAAGAGCTGATTCATTCCTGGTATGTGGGACCATTGGTTGTCACAATGAAATCTCCTCATGAGTGCTGTGAAATATTCAACATAAATATTAATTAATATTAATTCCAAGAGCTTTTGATGAAGTTCATTAAAGACCCTCAAAGCCTGAATATGGTACAAAAGGATCAGATGTTTGTACTTAGCAAATACTTCTTCACATCAAGATAAGATGAAAAACAACAATTGAACTCAGATACATTAATTGTCAGTCATGATGGTTAAGTGTCCTCTCCTTCATCCCTTAGCTAATAATTAGTTAAAATACGGTTAAGACAGAAGTTACATTGTGGGCCATTTGTGTGCTCCACTAACCTTTAGGTGACGCAGCGGCTGACTTTATTTATAGTGTAATGGTCTTTATTTATAGTGCAATGGAGATTAACTGTTTCACAGCACTGATTCATGGTTCGTGGTATTTAAAGTGCAGGAGAGCACATCAATGACGGAGTCTGCCTGCTCAGTTTCATTTTCAGGGGGCTGTAGGGCAGGTCAGTGCAGGCTGGTTGAAGCCGGACCAGCGAGTTGTTTACTGGTCTGACTCTGTGCTCAAAAGGTTTTTCACACACTGTTCTCAGGGAACTGTTTTTAGCGTCGGGTCAAGAAAGCAGGTGGTGAAAGCAGTTAAATGATTCTGACTATGCTTCTGTTTAAGGTTGAAACATTTTCTGTCTGCTGTGTGAATGAGATAAAATAGGAAAAAGGGAAAATGAATGAATGAATCCAACTTGCAGCTTTAATATTTAAAAAAATGGATTATTGCCTTTTATCTACTTGTCCAAATCTGCTCTGTTCTCTCATAACTAATTTCTGATGTATGCTTTATTTAAAAAGAACGCTACTGCATTTACTCATAGAATTTAAATATGAATTAATTGAAAGGATAAGATAAGGTAAGCGTTTATTGATCACCAGAGGAGAAATTCCCTTCAGAACAAGAAAACATAAAAAGACAAAACATCATGCCTCATGCTAGTGGCACCAAAATCCCAACCACCAGCCCCACATGAAGTCCTTGGTCAACATATACATGCGACTTACTGATGCTGCGACAGTTGGGAAGACAGTAAATAGTGGAAACGTGTCAGAGTTGCAGGTCATTTGTGGAGGCAAGACGTTTCTTTGGCCTTGTTTACCAGAACAACTTCAGGGTTTTTAGGAAACATGAACTTTATCTGTACACACTAGTGTCTATACATGATTAAAGTACTGGGACACACAGTGTGTCAAACAGATAAAGCAGCAGTGTACGGGGAAAACACTGGCGTGCATGTTGCAATGTAAAGAATCAGCACTGCAGTGGAAAAGAACAACATGTAACAGCAGGTGAAACATTAGGTATGTAGAGGAGACACTTCTGCGTAGTCAACGGCATAACATGATGTACGTTTGCTGGGGCCTTGACCTGGAGCTGCAATGGAAAGTCACATGTGAAGAGGCATGCACGCACACTCACAGACTCCAACACTTAACCAACAATGTGTCTCTAACCCTTTCTGCTCAGCATCCTGTCCTCTCTTTGGGTGCTGTTAGCCGGCCTGTGCAAATGCTAATGGCTTGAATGATTGCATACAGATGCTATGTGCACCCACCCACCCCTGTTCATAGTATGGATTGGCTGAGAAGCATGGCGGTTCCTTTGCCTGGAACGTTTCGTAACTTTATTACTTGCAGGGAGGAGGGATGGGGGAATTCCTATAACTGAACTAGTTTTGCATTTTGTTGTGCGGCGCTAACACTGAGAAAAGGATCTAGGGCAAATGTTATCCAACACAGTGGTCTTGTTACCCAGTCAAATGCCCCATGAAAACATTTAGGGAATCCAGACAGGCCTCTCTGTGTGATTGGCCACATATACCAACCAATAGAAACATGAGGTATGCTCCTTGATGTCAGTGTAGTAATATGAGCTGATATCTTCACGTGCTTAAGTTGGAATTTTATGCCAACTCTGGAAATAAATATATTCTGCTTATAAGCAAATAAATTGTACTGTAAAATTAGCTGTGAAACAATATGAAAATAATCTAAATGTTTACATGTACCAGTAGTGTATAAGTCCATACCAGGCAACCATAATGACACTGTTAGCAGCAGATCAACAAGTGATCAAATATCCGGCTGTGTCTTACAGACTGGTAAACATGGGATACACATAACAGGTGTGTACGAGTTGTGAGTCTGTCTCACAGTCATGTGCAATAGGTGCCTATAAATTGAGGAGCTTCTTCAAGAGTGAACAGAAAGACGAGAGACGAGGACACTAGAGGAACTAAAGGATTTTACATTATTTTCACTGGGCTGGATTATAACCTACCTGGAAAACTATTTAGGTACATTTTTACATTAAGATAACAAAGTATGGATCCTGTTTATGGGTTCAGACTCAGCCTATATTGCTATTTAAGTAGTACAAAAGAAATAAGAAAAATAAATATTTGTATGTATAAATGGTAATTTTTTTTGCATGATTGTCTTTTGTACCTCTTAACTGAACCTTAATGAATCACTCAGTTATCATAATGATAAAACTATTCATGAAATGCATGAAACCAGTAACGCAAATTCTCCTTGGATAACAAGTAGATGATAAATGCTTGTTTTTGCAGTGAGTGGTGGCCGGCTCATGTCAACAGAGTTAAGGACCTGAGGCATTTCCACAATAAAACCGCTTCAAAAGACTAGTGCACTTCTCAAGAAAACTTGAAGCTTTTCTTTACCCTCGTTTACAGGTACGTTTAGCATGAACACATTAAATATTAGTACACTCCACACACTATATAGTAATACAATCTGTTACTGTAGGTGTGTAGATATCAAATAATGATAACAATTCAATGTCATCCAAAGAGAAAATAAAATGTATAAACTGAGCTGAATAATGATTTTGTTTGTGTGTGTGTGTGGTGTGATATACACAGAGGTTCAGGGCAAATAGCATTAAGAGCAGATTTTTCCACTAATGTCATCAACCCAGGCGCAGAAATGGTTGCCATGAAAACCAAAGACATGGTGCCCTCTGCGGCAGTTAAGTTCTTCGGAGCAGGCACCGCAGCCTGCATCGCTGACCTCATCACTTTTCCACTGGATACAGCCAAAGTCAGACTGCAGGTCAGACACAATACTTAAGAGGGCCTGACACATTTTAACTTAACATTAAGTCTAATCAAAACGTTTCTGAACCTGCTGCTGCTAACAATCCCTGAATGTCATCGCATTGCATAGATTCAGGGAGAGGCTCAGAAAGTTGAAGGAGCACTGAAGTATCGGGGAGTGTTTGGCACCATCACCACCATGGTGCGCACAGAGGGGCCCAGGAGTCTTTATAATGGACTGGTGGCAGGGCTCCAGAGACAGATGAGCTTTGCCTCTGTCCGAATCGGTCTTTACGACTCCATGAAGCAATTCTACACTCGAGGCACTGAGAGTGAGTTTCATGACCTGATTGAGTGTCATTGTGTTTTATGAACAAGGTGGCGTCTCTCCTTCTGCTTCTTTGTGACTAATATACACATGCTACACAGGTGCTGGGATTGTTACTCGGCTCATGGCGGGCTGCACCACAGGAGCCATGGCTGTGGCTTTTGCACAGCCGACAGATGTGGTGAAGGTGCGTTTCCAAGCCCAGGTACGACTGGCTGATGGTGGGAGGAGATACAACAGCACCTTGGAAGCCTACAAGACGATTGCCCGGGATGAAGGAGTGCGCGGCCTTTGGAGAGGTGACACTTTTACTTTAAATAAATTATATTTATTACTCATTAAAAATCCTTCCACTGGTTTTGAATAACCATCCTCTCCCTTCTTCTAGGTTGTATGCCCAACATCACCCGTAATGCCATTGTAAACTGTTCAGAGCTGGTGACCTATGACATTATCAAAGAACTCATCCTGAAGTATGACCTAATGACAGGTGAGGTGGTACAGCAAACAAACAGCAGATATCGGTCCAATTTCTCACACATGCAAATACAAATATTGAGAATTGTTGGAGGGATGTGACTCAGCTTCTGTTCCCCTACAGACAACCTGCCGTGCCACTTCACCGCTGCCTTCGGTGCAGGCTTCTGCACAACAGTGGTGGCTTCTCCTGTGGATGTAGTCAAAACACGGTTCATGAATTCAGGGTCTGGCCAGTACAGCAGCGCTATCAACTGTGCTCTGACCATGCTGAGACAGGAAGGACCCACATCCTTCTATAAAGGGTAAACACACGCTTAAGTAACAATGAACAAAACAAGCTGTAAAATAACCTTTTTGGGACACTTCTTTACTTTTCTCCCCTTCGTCTCACTTAGGTTCATGCCTTCTTTCCTGCGACTGGGGTCCTGGAACATTGTAATGTTTGTGACGTATGAACAAATTAAAAGAGGCATGACCAGGGCACAGCAGTACTGGGAGTCACCGTTTTGATCTCATTACTGGCGAGACTGTTACTTCAAACAGGACTGCACAGTCACAACGGCCTGAACCATCACCACAGCGCAGTGGTGACCGGTGGTTGGAAAAGAAGACCTGTAAGTGGCAGGTCATGGCAGGAAGCTGTAGCTCTTTGACTCCCTGAGTGAACACAAACTCTGATGGGCATTTTGCAATACCAGAAGTGTTTTGGACTTCAAGTATGAAGAGATGTTTTGTGCATTGTAATGGTGATCTTCTCCATTATGAAAATGCTCGTTCAAGTGTAAAGGATGGATGTGAATTCCAGAAGGTTAAATCTTTATCTCTTATTCACATTATGTACAAGAACCTTGATCAGCTGGATGGTACCTAGCTTTGAAGATGGATTTTAATGTTTACAAGAATGTACTGTGAGACAACGTATATATAATAAATACATACGTTTGCTATGTAGCAATAGACAGCTTGAGTCTGGCAACACAGACCTAAACGGTGACCATTTGTATGTTACTTATGTTGCTTTGTGTATTGTGGATTGTTTATAATGTTTACACTTGTTGATACATGTGGTCAGGGGTTTATAGGTTAATCTATATGCTGCTTATTGTAAATAACATGATTTATTGCTGGTCAGTAAGTCATAAATATGTGATAAATAATGTCAAAATGAATAACTGTTTTTGTCTGTTATTGAATTTCATTGCACCTTTGTTAGCTATGTTGCTCCAACCAACCAACCAACCAACCCTGGAACACAGTTTACAGTGTAATTAAATAGAAAAAGAAAAGATCATTGCTTAATAAAATGGTCAATTTATTTTAGCTTTATTGTGGTACACACAAAAATATACTGTAAATTAATTTTCAACTTTTACATTTCCCAAGCAACAAGCACATAGGCCGACTCACATACAGCGTAGTATTTAGGTTCAGTATTTATCTGTAGAAGACTTATGTCCTCCTATCGCGACACTTTCTTCATTAATTATCAGTCGGAAAAGAAAAATCAGGGGCTACTTCAAATTGGAAAGGTGTTTGTCTGTGTGATCCGTGAACAAAAATTCACTCACTGACCATTACAGCAGGTGGGTCCCTGACAGCTGAGCTGTTATGTGAGCTAACATCTGACTAATAATCCGCAAGGTCCTCCTCTTTCATTAGTCCTCTAAATAAATACAGTTTTCTTAAGAGGGCCTTCACTGAGCCTGGATATATTTCCAGAAATATCTGCTCCTCGTGTTACAGTTTCACGCTTGAGTCAGTCTGATATAGAGCCACACAAGGCCATAATACAGCTACATCTGTAGGACAACATGTACCCAAGCATTAATTTATATCATTGCAATTTGCAATGTTATTTTTCATATCATATGACTAATTGTCTTCAACAGAAACAAACTGTACCGTATTACGCACACTGTTTCAGAAATCACTGGTCTCCCAACCCCCAACCTCTCAGATCTCAACAACAGCGTTATCACTGGCATGGCGCTCACCATACCACATGACCCTGGACACCACCCCCACCCCCCAAACCCTTTTTCACTCTACTCCCATCTGGTTGCAGAGACAGAACACTTCGGTGGCCATAGAGGTGCTAAATTCCATAGCTCGCTAGTCACAATAACACACTATGTATTCTATACAAATGTAATAATGCTCTTTGTTGTTGTATGTAAATGTGTTTATGTTCTAGAGACACACTGTGGAAGCAGATTTCCACTTCAAGGACAATAAAATCTACCTTTTCTACACATATAGTACTACAGCTACTGTATACTGTATTAATTAAATACTGTACTGCATTGTTCCACAGAGCCCAATCAAGGAAACATATATATATATATACAACACTGTTCAGATATGCAATACTTTTTGTCAATTTATTTTCAATGGTACATTTTTATTAAAAAAATCTTTTAACAAAATATATATTGTATATAAATAATTATATATTTGTGTTTTGAGATGTACATAAATCATTGACAGTATCTCTCAATCTAGTGCCTCATTAATCATTGCAGGACTGGCTCATGGAACACGTTTTAACAAAAAGCCGTGGTGAGATCTTAAAGGTCTGAACATACGGATCTAATTCAGTGGGCGATGTACTAAGTGTTCTTGTATTTTCAGCATGACTCAGCATTTCCTCCTCAAGTCTCTTTGTACTATAATGCTACTGTATGTGCAGACCTCTAAACAGATTTGGCAAGTTAGAAAAACGAATTTTGCATTTTATTTTCACATTTTAGTCAACTCTGAATATACCAAGATTGTTTAATCAATCATAAGTTATTTTTTAAAATGTTTTTTTGTGTTGTTGTTGTCTGAGAACACAATAGAAAGGAAGCCTGATTATGAAGTCAAGAAGACAGAGAGAAAACATAATACAAAATTCATGAAAATACCAATCAGACAGACACAACCACAGGCTGTTTGTCACACAGACAGGTTTATAGGCTGTCCATTCGACCAGTAGGCAGCCCATATAGATGTAGTGGTGGGGGTGGGGCCCCACCAGCAACACATGCCATGATGTAACAACGTTAAGGCAGTATTTAAACAGGCGGCTCTCTTCCCTACAACACTGCATTCTGTCCATTCACTGATTCATTCGGGCATTGTCACTTGGAGAGGCACTTCACCAGGCAACCAGGCATCTTAACTTCCACCAATCAAATCACGGTACAACCAAAATCTTCTTTCTTGGCGTATTTGTATTATTGTTGATCCTGTTCCATTGCTAATGTTTATGATTTTATTCATGTCTTTTCCAGGATTTGGAGTATGATTTTAAGGCTCAACACTTCTGAAAAATCTTCTATGGAAAAACTAGGAAACCAGTTTATAGTTGGGACAAAATTCAGCCAGAGAGACGCCTTTAGAGAATCCTGATCTCTAATGTTTATCTCCTAAACTGCTCCAATAAAGGTAAGAATTCATAACAAAAAACACAAAAAGATTATGCATAAAATTAAAGAAACTGTGTTTATGCTGTTTATATATATATATATATATATATATATATATATATATATATATATATACACACACACATATATAGAGATATTTATAAGGTATTTTTATGAGCACAGCCTTTCCCTGTCTGCACAGAATGTTTTGAACAACTGTCTTTAATTTAGCATCACTAAAACCTTTTAGACTTTAGGATGTCTTTGTTGCTGAGTGGAGGTGTTAAATAATTCACCCAACAGCAGGAGGCAAGTTAAAAAACATAAATTTTTGAATGAAATGTGTTTTGTTGTCTATCTGTTTTCAGGTTTTGGAGGCGCTCCTTGTCCCGTCCACACTAATAAGCCACTCATCGATCCTTATATTGACCAAAATAATTCTTGAAAATGGTTGGATTTGGACCTGCAGATGTGCCTCCATCAGCAGCTGTGAAGTTTGTAGGAGCAGGAACTGCAGCCTGCATCGCTGACCTGCTCACCTTTCCCCTGGACACAGCCAAAGTGCGGTTACAGGTAAACAAGATTTTTGTGAATATTTAAGTGAACTTACCCAGCAACGCATCAAATTCTGTGAATACGCTGTAAAATATAGATTTGATAAACACTGTCCATAAAGCTTTTATGCATTAGTTAGTGCCTAAACCTGTAGAAACTACCCTGAAGTGCTCCATCCTTTCCTATCCTTCATTCCCTTTTATCCTGCACAGATCCAAGGAGAGACCAGAGCTTCAGCAGCTACAGGGAAAGCATCTGCAGTGAAGTATCGTGGAGTGTTTGGGACCATCACCACCATGGTGCGTACGGAGGGGCCCAGGAGTCTTTACAGTGGACTGGTGGCAGGACTACAGAGGCAGATGAGCTTCGCCTCTGTCCGAATCGGTCTTTACGACACTGTAAAACAGTTCTACAATAAAGGCTCTGATCGTGAGTACTTATAAATATATTTAAATTGTTTATCTGGGAGTCCTGCACCAATCAGTCCTGACATCCCCATTCTCTCTGGTTCAGACGCTGGAATCGGCAGTCGGCTGCTTGCAGGATGCACCACTGGTGCTATGGCGGTTGCTTTGGCTCAGCCTACAGATGTGGTGAAAGTTCGTTTCCAGGCACAGGCAAGGTCTCTTGGGCATGCCAGACGCTACTGTGGCACCATTGATGCTTACAAGACCATTGCTAAGGAGGAAGGCATTCGTGGTCTGTGGAAAGGTAGCTTGAGCTTAAGGGGATTACTTAGCTACTGAAGCATATCTTTTATTTCTTATGATAAATCTTTTGTTGTACTTTTGTATTATTCTATCGTGCAGGTACAGCTCCGAACATTGCACGGAATGCAATTGTTAACTGCACTGAACTGGTGACATATGATTTCATCAAGGATACACTTCTTAGGTCCACTCCCCTGACAGGTAAAACAATGGATGCAGTACATGTGACGCAGAGGCATCATATATATAGACACACACACACACACACACACACACACACACACACACACACACACACACACACACACACACACACACACACACACAATACATTAGAGTTCACATGTACATGTACACATATATATATATATAAAGTATGTGCCTCAGTGTTTTTCTCTTTGGAGCAGTAACTGTCAGCCTTTACTCCACAGATAATCTGCCCTGCCACTTTGTATCAGCCTTTGGTGCAGGGTTATGCACAACAGTGATTGCGTCTCCAGTTGACGTGGTCAAGACAAGATATATGAACGCTGCTCTTGGCCAGTACAGCAGTGTCCTCAATTGTGCTGCTGCCATGATGACCAAAGAGGGACCACTTGCCTTTTATAAGGGGTAAAGCATTGACTCCATGGACAATACTGAAAGGAATAATGAGGACATAAATCAAACTTGTATGGAGCAGGGGGTTGAGACAAATGGCTGTAAACTAAATGTACAAAACAGCTATTAATATGGAGCGATTGCAATCAATCATGTTGTTTTTCTGTTTTCTGCTCTTAAGGTTCATGCCATCTTTCTTACGCCTGGGCTCCTGGAACGTGGTGATGTTTGTAACATACGAGCAGCTGAAACGGGCCATGATGGCAGCGAATCACAACCGCACAGCTATATTGTAATCATCGGTGTCTGTCAGAAGGCTGATGCTGGAGCACAGTGGTGTTGTTTACAAAGCTTCTTTACTTTCTGTTGCCCCCTAGTGTACATTTCAACTCAAAGCAAAGTCATACAAATTGTGTCAATACTCCCTCTCTCATTACAGAAATGTAACCCCAGTCATCATTAGTCATGCGATAGCAACACGTGTATGAAGTTGTAATCAATATTTAAAAGACAGAGCTTGTTTGATCAGCTGCTTCCTCTCAGCGGAGAGCTTCTCAGGAAACTGGATGTCAAAAGTAATGATGAGGTTTCCTCTCTGGGAAGGATCCTGGGACAGCGGCATTCCCTCTCCAGTCACCACTTTTTTGTATGCCGGGCTAATGTGTTATGACAAACAAATCAGAGACAGGAGAATGAATGCAGATGTAGCCCAACACAAATCCATCTAGAAATGTACCTGTTTAAGTGTACCATTTATATAAAGGGCTTGGATTTCTAATGTTCGTCTCTTCCTGTTCTCATCTTAATGTCTGAATCATTTAATCAGCCTTTGGAATATCTGACATTAATGTCGAATTAATAGGATTACAAAATACAGTATTATATTATTAGTATTATGTTATTTCATATTCCACTTTGGCCTCAATATAGGAAAGCACTTACTGCACAATGTCATTGATGGGAATACTGAGTAGCCTGCCGTCTAGTGTCTCCACATCCACAGAGAACCCAGTCAAGGCCTGTGGGAAAGTTTAAGTGTTTATTCTACTACAAGAGTCATCTATTAAGTATGACCGATGGTTAAATCCATTATTCTGGCTCTAATTAACATGATTTACCATCTCCAGGGAGATCTGGGCCTTGTAGATCAGGTCATTGTGTTGCCTTACGAACAGAGGATGACTCTTCTGTCGCACTATGAACACAATATCTGCAGGAATGCTGTTTGGTCCCTAAAGGTAAAAGTGAGACACAACCAGATGATTACCCTGTAGCTGGGCTCTTTACCTAAAACATGACTTAGTAATATGTTGTTGTTACTATGCATATTTTGTTAAAGATTAGCTTTCTGCACATACTTTATTTGGACCAAAATTGACCAAATCACCTCACGTGCATGTGTGAGTACCTTCAAAGAGATGTGCTGAGGCCCCCTGCTGGTGACAATGCAGCAGATCCAGTGGAAAGTGTCACCCTTCATAACTGAATTATTGAATGCACTTATATTATATAAAATATAAAATAAGTGCAATATAAAATATTCTTTACTCTTTTTCATTCATATTAAATCGTGACTTTCTAAAATATTTACCAGATTCAAAACTGATCATGCTCCATCAATATTATTTCAAACACAATGTTTTTGAAGGAGCAGAATTACAAAATCTAATACAGAAGAATACATTCATTATTAAGCTAATTTATGATTCATCCCGTTTTATCCCAAGCATTTACCTTTCTCTAACAGAGATGCCTACAAATGTTAATATTCTGCCTATTCATTATGCTTAAGATAATCCAACATACATTAGCAAAGTTGCACTATTACAATGTTCATATATTTTTTTTAAATAATTGTGACTGTGCACAAAAACCCACCAAAATAAAACATAAACAAACAAAAAGAACAGTTTCTGAACTTTAGTAATATGTTTTGTTAACCTGGGAATCTGCCGAGCTCTTTCTGGCTAATGTTGTGTTTATCGTCCAAAATTGTAAATTGCTAGACTTTCCTCTAAAACTTACAGCCCTATAAAAGCCAGGGTTGTATATAATGAAGTACCATTATCAGAGAAAACAGCTCTATGGGGCAGCAGAGAGTTGGGTAAATCAGCACCAGGGACAGCGCCACAATCCAAAACTCACACACGTTCTTGTGAGAAATGTTGCATAAAGCAAGGGAATAAAGGAAGAGTGTAAAACTGAGACCACAGCCTTTTCTTGTAACTAACCTAACCTCATCCAAAAAACAACACATGCTAACCTCAGCCAAACTGCAGAAACCATTACAAATCCTGTACTATCAGCTCTTTTTCTGACACTTCTCACAGGCAGAAACTGGTCAATAGAATAACAGGTCAACTCCCCTTTACAGTATTACAGCATATATAAGGGATGGGAATTGAGAAGATTTTATTTATACCAATGCCATTATCAACACTGCTTATCAGTTCGATTCTTTATCGATTCCCTTATTGACTCCTGATCCATTTTCTGTGTGTAACAAAGTAGGCCCACACAGGTATTCAGCATCAAAGCAAATGTATTATCTCTGATACTGAACACAGTGTAGAAACAGAGTATAAAAAAGGCATGCATGTGAGATTCCTGAGATTTAAGCCAATGTTTTGCAATGTTCAACTATCACGAAAACATGCCAGCATCCATAAAAGGAACTGATTAGTTTGGAGGTATACTTTTCTGATGGATCGGTCAATTAAGGACTGATTTTCAATTCCCATCCCTAAGCATAAATTCGTTTTACAATTATTACTTTTCACTGGCACCAGCGGCCTACATTTCTTCTTCAAACTAGATGACGTTATACTGATTTTGATCTTTGACAAGACTTTTGAAATACCAAATTGAAATCAGAGTAGGACAAAAGAGTTTTAAAAGCATATGAGCTCTCTCTCTTATCACAAAACAGACTTCAGGCTGAGTGAGTTATTAGTAACTATTACAGATGTCTTAAATTGAATTATAATAGATAATGGTGTTGTGCAGTTCTTTTACCTGGTCTCCCTCTTTGGGGAAAATTATTCTTGTGCCTTCTTTCCATCCAGGCTTCACATCTATAGTCAGGATCTTATCTTTGATACTGGAAGTGTATCCATCCTCATTCATAACCTGTTAAAAACATTAGGAAAAACGTATTTCATTCAGTGTGTTTATTTGGACCTTGTTAGTGTGTGATTGATTAGTATGATCTAAGTCCTTTGAGACTCGAGGAGGTGGTCTCTGTCTAATCTAATGCATGTATGAATGACTCGACCACTCCAAAGCAATGGGATGAGAAAATATACAGTTCTCTCACATACAGTAGCTCTTACCCTGCGAGATATCTTTATCTTTTTTGTGCATCCGTGGAAGAGATCATCCAGGGACAAGTGAAGGTCTCTCTCTATATGAGAGTCTTGGGTCTTCACCACTCCTGGTTCCAGGCCACCGAACTGAAGTGGTGCATCGTTTGTATAGAAGTCTAGCAAAAAAATGTAAATGTAGTTAATGTAGTTAACAAGAAATTTGAGTCAGCACACTATGTTCTCTTTTTTCTCACCTGCAAATGGGTTGTCGCCTCCAAAAAACTGTTTAAATGTTTTTTCTGGGTTCCCATGGTAGACATATTTTGATGACCAAGCCCCACTGTTGCCAAACTCAGGTGGGATACCACCTTTCAGACCCTCGTCACCAAACTTGTCATAGGTTGCCTTTTTTCGAGCTGTCACACAGAACATAAATATTGTTAGAGACACAGACTTCCAGTCTCCATGCAGTAAATACCATCAAAATACTCAAAATATTGGCATTTTGTTAAAAGGTGGATCATTTTATAGATTGTTAGATGATGATTTGGAATAAAACGTGTATGACCGGTAGCTTTTTATTAGAAAAAGTACATGCACACTGTACATTAGCTTTAATCATTCACATTTGGTCTTGTTTAGCATTGCTTAATAATTCATTCATCTTGCTATATAAGAGCAGATATGTTTTTGCCCCATTTACATTAGAGATGAAAATAAAATATAAGAACTATTTAATTCTTCTCACAACTTTTTCTTTATACTATATTAGTTCTGTGTTTACATTTAACTTAAAATATCACTTTTTCTTATAGTCCATGAGCCGGGGGGTTGATCGGTATCATCGGGGGGACAAATGCTATCATTGTTTTTTGGCAAGGTATTCACCCCTAGTACCAGAAAAATCACGATAGCAGTGCAGGGGTGGTAGCGAAATCACTTTTTTGAAGTTACTAACCCCCTAAGATAAATTCCGTTTTTGCAATCTGGTGTATATCTGGTTTAGGCTCATGGTAGGGATATTGTCAATATTCTATAATATGGTGCTTGGTATCGTTGGAAAGGGGACCTTTTAGGCTTTCATTTAAGCCCAGTACTGAATCTGTCTGACAAATACAGAGGTCAAAACCAGAAATAACACACATTTTCTCACAATTTCCGCCTAAACTGTATGCTTTCTTTTATCCCTCGGTCATGAAGGAACATCAGGGACACAAAACTCAACAACTTCAATACTCAAGGCACTCTGATGATTCAGAAAATGTATAATATACCCATACTATTTATTTGTGAGAGCCTTAAATTACACTTGTGCAGCCAGCACAAGTCTTCAAAATAGAATAGAGCGAATAGAATGGACAAATAGGATGGAGCCCTACTAGTTGTAAAAGTCAATAAAGAAACAGGTTGTAAAGTCAATATATTTAATCAAAGACTGGTTTGTATGTTGATATCCATTATTTTATTATCTAATCATCATCATTCTCCATGTCGTCCTCGTCTTAATCTGAACTTTCTACACAGGTCGCCTGGTTTTCACACTTTGTCTGTTTACACGTCTGTGCACCTGAGGCCATTTGCAAGACACATACATCGAGTGAACATTTCTTTGTGCAGTTGCAGGCGACTAGATCCAGGAGGGCTTCAGGTGCTGGCCGGCCTTCCATCCAGTGCAGCACCAACTGTTCACCTTCCTCCTCTGTCTCCATCTTCCATCCTCTGCCAACAGGGCTTGGCACTTGTGCTCCGTCGGACACACAACGAACAACACAAGCGAGTCAGTCAACGAGAGACAGGTATGGCGAGCCCAAATAATCCAAAAGTAGCCTTCTCTAAATGGAAGTATAGCCATTACTTTTCCCTCCAAGAAATTAAAGGAACGGATGTAATCTTGAAATGCACATTATGCTATTATTATTATTATGTTAGATTGAAAGCACCTCATATTGTTACACTGTTCTACTTTTTCGAGGAAGAAAATACTTGAAGTACAGTATATCTGCCAATTGTCTGAAGTTTTTTTTTTGTTTTATTTGTACTACAAAGACGGTATATATGTGTTATTTATTTTTGGTATAGTGCTTAACAAGCATAATTGAATTTTGCCCAGTTGTGGCCTGTTGAGGGGCAATAAATATCAAAAGTTCCAAAACATCTATTGTGTTATTTGTATCGATCCACTATAGAAACATAATATCTACATACATGGCATTTGATTAGAGGCTAGTCTAACTTTGTCCCACAGCAACATTAAAATAGTTTAGATTTGTGTACATTGTTTCTGTTAATAATGTATTAAGTGTCCATTTCATTATAATATTCAGATTTATCATAAATAATTGAACATGCACATGTATTTTAAGTTCCGTTAAAGAGGGGTGGAGGTGGGGTCACGTTTGAGCATTTAAAAATGTACTTGAAAGTAACGCAATAGTTACTTTCTGAAGTAACTAGTTACTTTTATAATTTGTAACTGAGTAACCAATTTAGTTACTTTTTGGAAGAAGTAACTAGTAACTAATTACTTTTTAAAAGTAACTTGCCCAACACTGGAGGCAACACACACTGCGAGCTAACTATCAGGCTGGTATTTGGAGAAGATGTTTAGAAACGGACCCACAAGTACCAAGCCCTGTTGGCAGAGGATGGAAGATGGAGACAGAGGAGGAAGGTGAACAGTTGGTGCTGCACTGGATGGAAGGCCGGCCAGCACCTGAAGCTCTCCTGGATCTACTCGCCTGCAACTGCACAAAGAAATGTTCACTCGATGTATGTGTCTTGCAAATGGCCTCAGGTGCACAGACATGTGTAAACTGACAAAGTGTGAAAACCAGGCGACCTGTGTAGAAAGTTCAGATTAAGACGAGGACGACATGGAGAATGATGATGATTAGATAATAAAATAATGGATATCAACATACAAACCAGTCTTTGATTAAATATATTGACTTTACAACCTGTTTCTTTATTGACTTTTATAACTAATAGGGCTCCATCCTATTTGCACATTCTATTCGCTCTATTCTATTTTGAAGACTTGTGCTGGCTGCACAAGTGTAATTTAAGGCTCTCACAAATAAATAGTATGGGTATATTATACATTTTCTGAATCATCAGAGTGCCTTGAGTATTGAAGTTGTTGAGTTTTGTGTCCCTGACGTTCCTTCATGCCCCAGGGATAAAAGAAAGCATACAGTTTAGGCGGAAATTGTGAGAAAATGTGTGTTATTTCTGGTTTAAAGAAGTCATGTGACCTCTGTGTTTGTCAGACAGATTCAGTACTGGGCTTAAATGAAAGCCTAAAAGGTCCCCTTTCCAACGATACCAAGGACCATATTATAGAATATTGACAATATCCCTACCATGAGCCTAAACCAGATATAACGTTACACCAGATTACAAAAACTGAATTTATCTTAGGGGGTTAGTAACTTCATGAGCTAAAAAAAGTGATTTCGCTACCACCCCTGCACTGCTATCGTGATTTTTCTAGTACTAGGGGTGAATACCTTGCCAAAAATAACTATGAGACTTTGTCCCCCCAGATGGTACCGATGGCCCAAATTTGGGGCCCTGGCTCATGGACTATTACTGCAATGACCTAAATGTCTCATGTCACAAACTTATATATACAGTCAATTCTCCACAATATGGTACTAAAATCAGTTTACAGAGATTAGCGCATGCGCCTCTAGGACAACTGACTGACTGACAGTAAGATATAAGGTTAGGTAACAGTTGTATCCCCGGCTGAGGAGGGGTCGCAGTAACTACCGACCCAGCCTCTCTGACCCACTTACGGTCACTCAGGACCTCGTAGGCTTCTCCCAGCTGACCGAATCTCTCGCCGCTGCCGCTTTCCTTGTTGCAGCTCGGATGAAACTTCAATGCAAGACGTCGATATCTAAATAAAAGTGACAATAATTAAACACATCTGATATAATAAAACCTCTGTTTAACGTCCACTCCAGTAACTCCACGGTTGGTATTTTATCAAAAACTTACGACTGTTTGATATCTGCGTATGTTGCATTTCTGTTTATTTCCAGCGTCTCGTAGTAGTCGCTACCCATTATGGATTTAAATGTTTCAAATTACTCAGTGTTTCCGCCTTAAACGCGGTTGTTAAAGTAGCAAAGCTTTGGCAAAAATTAAAACTCAAAAGAAGCGGTTGTTTTTTTATCGTGGTTTCCACGGTAACAGCTGCTTGGGAGGCTCTCGCGAGACTTGCAACAATGGGCTGAACCAATCGTGGACGGGAGGTCACACTGTAACAAACACTGACAGTGTGGTAAAATGATGTCTTATTTCAGGGTGTACGTTAAATATTTATTACTGTTCATGGGCTGCACTGCTCCTTTGCGCATGTGCATTTTACTGTTGATATCTGTATGAAAGGTGCAATACAAATACAATTTAATACCAATGATCATGGCTGGATTAACATGTTGTTGGGCACACACACATCATGCCATTATACCTGTCACTGGCCATTTAAGGTCATTTGATTAAGCACAATTACATTTTATTTAGAAATATACACCATCTGAGCTGAATACAAACTAAAACAATTACAGCCTAGTAACAACTAATATTTTGGCCCTCCAGAAGACAGGGCCACAATATAAGTATGACACAGGACTCAATTTAGTTGACATTGTTGCTAATACATTTGAAATAGGTCAAATTGTGTTAAACTAATTGACTCACAGTTAATCTCGATTTAAGGGGCCCTAGTACAGTTGCCCACTTTGCAAATTGCAATCCAGCCTTGCTGCAGGTGGTGTCTTAATATGTCCCTTAATAAAATAACATAACCATGATAACTTGAGTCACAACAGACATTCAGGGATGAATAATGGCTGGAATGCAGTTTTTTTTTTTAGGTGTGCAAGCTCAAACCCTGTTATTATGAATGCTGTCAGAATCTCTGCAGTGTAATAAGCCTATTAGTCCATCAGTCCATAACACCTGCAGGACAGATAACCAGGCTGATTACTGTCAGTGATTCAGTCCACATGACTGAGCAACTCTCTGCTCCATGACACCTTTCCGGTACCGTTGGGTGTTGTTCTGTTTCTGTGGTTCATACTTTTGCCGAAACAGATCAACATCTCTGCAATCATTTTAACTTTGATTTATAATTTAGAGATTCAAAAATACCACACAAATCCCTGAATGTAAATCAGCTGTCAAAGAGACACTGACGAACTCCAGCAGCGGTGACAAGTGTATCTTTATTCTTTCATTTAAAACCATTCCAGACAGAAAAGTTAAGGACTACTATGCTTTACAAACCAGACTCTCCTCCTTAAGTTCACACAAAAATTGCACGGTATTCAGTATGATCAAATTGCCATTTAGAGGTGGTACCGGGAACAGCAGACAGACTGATTCTGTTAAAGGTGGTCCAGATGAATGCATATTTTATTAGCGGTTCAGGACACATACCAAAAGTGAAGATATTAACAGCCATAAAAAAAAAAACATGAATCCAATAGAAATAAATATTACAAGTCATTGTGGATTAAATACACATGTAGAATCACTAACAAAAGATCAATGCCAAAAAAAATAAAAACAAGCAAAAAGAAAACACACGTTCATAAAACATCCCAAACTTAACTAGATAAACCCAAAGCCAAGGAAGCCCTCTACAATTAAACTCCGAAAGGCATATATCTCCATCTCTAATGTTTATGTTGGGTTTCATGATTATGACTCTTAATATATGAGAAAATCCTCCTCGAACACAATCATCAAAGAAACAGTTTTAATCTATGATAGCTGTAGTCTTTAGAAGTAAAATTAAAGATCTATCCAAATAAAAATAGAAAATGGAAGCAATGGTAAAAATAACCAAACTCAAGGGACAAGTGTGGGAAGAGAGTAAGGACGGTAATGTGGATGGTGGAGTGCTGCTCTTGTGGTAGGTGTCATGTGTTTGTGCTGGTCTGAGACCGTACGGTGGTGTGTGACTGTGTACTGACTCGTCATATCGTGCTGGTACATGTTGGGGAGAACTGGAACCACAAAGCACACAAGCAGTTTAAAATGAGCTCATGGCTGCCACTTCCAACTTCAGCTGCGTCGTGGGTGTATACAATGTGTGTGTCAACACTGAGATGTCCCCAGCTGATTTACTTCGACACAACATTGCAACTATTTCCACATATTAATCCCAGACAGATTTAAATAACAGAAAAGTTTGATAACACAATTCATGAATGAATTCTTGCCAATCGATTGCAACAGCACAAATTATTAATTAACCGACAAATGCAAAAAACATCCACATTGTGCTTATTAAGCTTAAAGCGATATTAAACTTTTTAAAGAATATTCTCACTTTTAAACACATACTTTGATGTCTTAAACACACATTTTCTTTCTTTCAGTTTGGTACAAAAACTCATCTTTAGACACAAACTAGCTGTGACTTGTAACTCTTCTGCTATCATCTCTTTCTTTTTGAAATGACAGTTTCAACGTACGTGTGTTAAAGTGCAAATATTCCATTTAAGTGATTTATGACTTTCAGAGCGTCCAGATGAGGAAGCAGGTTTCCACAATGGCGAGGAAAACAGATGTAGTGTTCTCTTTCAGGCTGGGGAACAGAGGCGGTGCAGTGAAGGGTACAGAAAAAAAAAACAACTGGGTTTGAGAAAAAGCCAGTAAGGGAAATATTTAGCAATGACATAAGCGGGCATTAGCAGGAACAGCCTCCGTCACTGACCGGTACCTCTGGTGGCTTCTCCAGCTTAATATCAATCACTGAAGGGTTTAGGAGTTAAGGAACATCAGAAAATGGGGAAAATGAAACTGCAAAATGTACGAGTGGTTAAACACAACTGCTTTTCACGCAAAGCATGTTAGAGATAAAATGTTCAAGTTTTGTACACATGTAGAAAATCCTTTTTTTCTGTTGTGGGTCATGACTAAAGAGAGCTAAATGATCATTTGATCAATGCCCAGCCCTAAATGTCATCCATTTCAGAGTACCAACAGACTGTGGACTGAAGAATATCTTATCATCTCGTATAAAAGTATGTATTTTGAGTATCAAATACATACTAACCAAACACACTACGAGTGAGAGGTGGCTTATGTTTTAGCCATTCATCCACTGTAACCAAGCTGACTGCAGCATAGAAGTGGTAATAATAATAAAAACAAATTGTATTTCTTTAAGATTATACCCAGTAAATCTGAATCAGTGAGTTGAAGCACAATATGTGCTCTCACTGGTAAAATGAATCTTAAGGACATTTGGGTTATACAACAATAGCTAACTGTCACAGTGCTGCACTAGATGCTCCTTCTAACAGTGACTATCCATTAAAGAGAGCGAGGGGGCATCCTGACTCTCTTCTGTCATGTCAGACACAGACGCTGACTTGTACACAAAGGATACTGTCCTCTCTACTCTTGTCCTGTGTGTTATCCATGCCAGGGAGGGCGGCTGCCACGCGACGGAAAAGCTGAAGGGAGAGAGAGAACCAGATGTATTCTGTCAGATAGGGACATACACTCAAAAACACAAGATGAAATCAAGATAGGAGGCTGTGTATATTCCCATAACACGATTTAGCAGGTTCACTTGAAGCTCGCACAGAGGAAGACTTCCACCAGAGCTTTTCCAAATTTGATTTGAATTTAGCAGCATGTGTTTGAGCTACTGCACAACCATACTACTGCACTGCAGGAGTTGCTGGAAAAGAGGGCGTCATTGTGCCTTACTCAGACCTTCCATTGCTAGAGCTTGGAACATTTTAAGTGATTGATGGATTCAAATGAATTTTAAAAAAGGAACTGTGTTGAATGTATGATGATGCTTAAGATACCCAACCCAACTAAACAGAATAACATAGAATTAAACTTAATATGCATGCAGATTTTATAGCAACAGAAATACTGCTACTGTGCTAATAGTGGAGTATTGGTTTGCAAACCCTGAGCCACCTCTAGGTCTGTATGATCAAAGGTTGGACTATACTGATAATTACTTCTATCAGGTGGAAGAGAGCTTGAAAAACATCTCCAAACGCCTCACTTTGGACCAGAGGAAGATGGTATTTAAAGCACACCTTTATGCATGCATGCATGCGTGTGTGAAACAGAAGCCAATCAGAAGAGAGCATGAGCACAATGAACACACACAAAAGGTGCACACGCTCTACCTGTTTGACATTGTAGCCTGTCTTTGCACTTGTTTCAATAAACAGAACATTCATCTCTTTCGCTCTCTGTTCTCCCTCCTCTGTGGTTATCTGTCTGCGATGAGCCACCACGCACAACACACACACACACACACATCCACGGGGACACGCACATATCGCCACAGACATCAACAAGAAGACAAGAGGAAAAAAAAATACAGACTGTGATTATGTTGAAGTGGATTAACAAGCCGTGCCGCTGCCTGCTGCAACTGCCACCTTTGCTCGAGACCAAAAGTCGTCCCGTAGGCCTTCAGGCTGTTCAATGTGTTAGCTGAGCTCAACAGGGACGGAAATCTTTAGATTTTGGAACCGAAAATGAGCAATGACTCTTAGATGCAGTGGCTGGATAAGGTGGTAAATTTGGAGACCTTTTTGGAGGTTGAGCCCAGGCAGCAGCATCTACAGCAGGACCACAGAGCACGACTCACACACATTCTTACCTGCTTTACGTTGTAGCCCGCTTTCGCACTAGTCTCAATAAACATTACATTTAGTTCTTTGGCTTTCCGCTCACCCTCTTCAATAGATACTTGCCTGTGGTAGATAAGGGGGTTAAGAGATGCACAGCGAAAGATATTACACAACTTACTTCATTAAAACAGGTAGATAAAGTGGATCACACAGTAGACACTTTCAGATTTAGTATTATCAAACACCACAGCTGACAACTATCAATTTATTTAGGAGCTTAATCTGGTAAAGATTAAATAATCAATATCTTGAAATAATGTGGGCTGAGACAAAGAGAAAGAGGTGATAGAGTATGAAAAAAAGTCAATCACAGCTTTGCACCCACAAAGGGTGGACGTAACTCTGATCTAATGCTGCCTCAGAAAGGACTGAGGAACTCAGTATCGACAGGCCAGCAGCTCCAATCAATGACTTCATTAGTATGCTCTCGAGGGAGGGAGCCCACTTACACAGAGGCAGTAGGAGGGAGGAACAGATTACCTTTTGTCTGCAAGGTCTGTCTTGTTTCCCACCAACATAATAATGACATCACTTCCTCTCTCCGTCCTCACATCATCAATCCATTTTGTGGTTTGCTGGAAGGAGTTGACGTCTGAAAGAGAGACGAGGGGGAAACATGAAGTGGGGCATCAGTATTCAGTAGATGACTAGCCTCGGCTGTGACAGGAAGACATTAAGGAAGTACAAATACAAGTTGTACACATCTTCTTACCCAAGTCTGATTTTGTAAATGAAAGAAATGTGCATTTGCATCACAATTACTGCAGTAAACATTTCCGAACATTAAAGTACACACAGCAGCGGACGAGGCAAATGTGACGTGTTTGTAAAACATCCAAGTGCACAGTTAATCCACCTACTTGTGATGTCATACACTACGACAGCAGCAGCAGAGTCTCTGATGTAACTCGGGATAAGGCTACGAAACCGTTCTTGCCCCGCCGTGTCCCACAACTGCAACCTGATCTGTGGGACAGGAAGGGGAAGGGATGGGAGGAGAAATAAAAGAGAAAAAAACAAAAACAAAAGAAGTGATGAAAATAAAACAAGAAAAGAAACCGAGGTCAGAAATGAAGTAAGTTATGGTGACAAAAAGCAAAATTGAAAGAAAACTAAATAAATTGGACAAATGGGAAAGGAGGGAGCGAGGACAGATAGAGTGTAGTGCATGCAGGTAGTGAATGACCACCAGAGAGAGCGAACTGTCTGGGCCTGGGAGGGAAGAAATAAATAATCACCCTTCACTTGCCATCAACCCTCCTCTCCTGATCAAGTAAGGTGTTTAATTTCAAAACAGGAATGAAGAGAATAGATGGAGGGGTAGGAAGGAGAGGAAGAAAACTTGCGTTGAGGGTAGAAACAAAGAAAGGGAGGACGGTCCAGGAGGTAACGGCATCCAGCTCACATCTGGAGGGCAGTACACATGCTGCGTGTGCTTATAGAAAATATCAGAATTCTTGAAAACATCACAAAATTATGCCGTGAACTCAGCATCCGAGTTGATATTACCTCCACCAAAACATTACAGTCACTAAGAGGATTTCTCCAATCAGGACAAAGATGAGAACAACCAATCAAGGACACAAATATAAAAAAAGAAATAAACAAACAAACTTACTGTTCGGTCTTCAAGGTACATGGTTTTCGACAGGAAATCTATTCCTATTGTGGCCTGGAAATGGGTAACAAGTAGTTAAATATGCATGACCGTCTTCAAACCATTAGCGTTTGATTTGAGAATAATATGAATCGTCAATGGTAATAAAATCAGGTTGAGGTGTTTGTCTCACTTGGTAAGTGTTGTCGAAGCTGTCGTACATGAACCTGGTGATCAGCGAAGTCTTTCCCACTAAAAAACACACACAAACAATAAATACTGTAAGGGCCATGATCACACTTTCACTTCAGTTCTTCAGAATTACCAAAATATCTGTAGCCATCACGAGTAGGGCTGCCACTAATGATAATAATTGATTCATGTATCCATTCTGTATCTATATCTACATCCATTTTTTGATTGACATACAACCACTAACTGATAATACATGACAGAGTGTGAGGAGGGAATGTGTCATATCATAATGAAATGTTGAAATGGTCTAAAGCCTGTCACGCAACTAACGCTGCCCTCTGAAAGTTATTGTCCATTAAAAGGCGTGGTGCAGAATTAAGAAAAATAGTAACTGAAAAGAAGTTGAAGGGTTGAGGAATGTTGAGAGGCAAGTAGGGTTGGGTTCCTCGAGGGATGGGCGATATAGCTGCAAAATGTATCACAATAAAATGTTTCATTTTAGTAGATATTGATAATTACTGATACTTTTAATGACCTGTTTTTAGTAAAACCAGGTGAAAAAAGGTTATTCCAAATGTAACCTCCTTACTTTAAATAATATTTCTTAAATAGTAAGTATAGTAATGATTTTGTCAAATGGTGTTGTTGCTGAGTAGCTCTCAGGTGTAGACAGCCCATAGATTGTTGTTGAGCTGTAGCAGATGTAGGTCGTGATTGACAACATGGTGCGTACTTCAAAGTGTGGAAGCGGATATTGTGATTGATTCATACCATTATCAAGGTTTACGACGTATTTGTTATGTCCTTTCATGGCAGTTTACATTTATTGCATTTAAGTGAAAAACATTGAACAATTTTCTTACTGCTATGGATTAAATGTCTTTTGCCAATACATACTGATATTGTGACCTTGGTTCCCCATTTATTTCCCCTTTATTGCCTTGCTTTTTCAGCCCTGAAGGGACCAACTTTGAGGATTTTTGACACTCTGTATCTATGCTGAAAAGATAATGTCATTTACCAAACTCTTCCACATTCTCTAAACATGGCAGCTGTAAAATAATTCATAAAATGCATTTCAACCTGGCTATTTATGGGTTGAACATCACTTTTAGCGCATCAGAGAGTGTCACGGTTTCTTTAAGCACCCGGACAGGTCTCCACAGCCTCGGACTGTTTTGCTGAGCTCGAGTTACATTATCAGTTACACTGTGGATCAAGTGATGAGAGGGCCAAAGCCAACACGGCTGTTTACAGTTTTAGAAGGAACCACAGCTGATCACAGGCCGTCTGACAAACACAAAGTCTGTCCTATCCTGATGGGGGTTGAAGTATCACATTACAGGACACAATGCCTATAAACAAATAATTAGAGAGAGACATTTCAAGTTTTATTAAGCATATAAAGCATAGTCAGATAGGGATGGCTCAATACAAGCATTTCATGTCTGATACCGATGCCTCAACTTTGAGTATCTGCTGATACCAATAACAATATGATACCATCTTTTTTCCTCTCATAAACAACCACGCTGTTAGTAATACATTTGTAGAACAACTTTTCTTGAACCTAGCCATCAAAAAACAAACAACAAAACAAAACATCAGGCTCAACCGGTGACACAAATATTCTACTCGCGTGAAGGAATAAATACATAAACCAAAGTTTAGTTAAGCTTTTATGTAATAGTTTAAGTTATCAGCAGATCCGCATTGTCAGACATGACGAGCCCACATTACAGTTTAATCGCTCATGTAACGTTTCATTCCCCGTCGCCTGGCCATACACACTGATCATACATACAAAAATGCCACAAACACAGCTCGGCTCTGCTTTGTGTTGCCATGTTAGACACAAAGCTGCAGAAATAGTGCAACACCTTTAGCTTCCAAATCACATACATGATTGTTAAGTATGCTTCTGTACACGACAACTCCCCCCCCTTTCTCAACCAGTACAAGTGCACCTTGTGTTCACTCTGGAAAAAGGGGAGAATGAGTAGGAACAGTGCAGGAATGCCACTGGGCAGGATTAGGGATTGGGATGCACCACCTCTCTGCAGTAGCCGCGGGGTAGAAAAACTGATCTCACCGTGTAACCACTGTAATATTGTGTAGATCTGAATTTGTAGCATGCTTATGAATACAGTAGCAAATACAGCTCATCACCTGCAACCAACCAGCCCTCTACTTGTAATACTAAGGCATACAACTAGTATTATTACACAGGCAGTACCCTGTCTCACCACATAATTGACACTTGTAACTTTCTATTAGCCACCACAGACGCAGGTTAGCTGATCACACCAGCTTCCACAGACAGGACCTGACCTATCAGGAAGGAAAACGATTGCATTTCCACGAAGCCAGCGTGGACAAGGAGTTAGTAACAAGTTACGGTGTCGCAATGACATCACTGTGCCAAGTTTAACGTTACGCAGCTAACGTTAGCTAGCTATCAGGTTAACATTAATCACCAGACCCAAACTCTGGTGTTAGCTTCATCTCCAACAGAGCAGATTTCACACTACACACCCCACCAGGCTCACACTTACCACTCTGCTCCCCGAGGAAGACCAATTTAAATTTTCTTAAAGGGTTTCCGAAGTCTCCGGCCGCAGACATGATGACTGTATGAAACAAACCCCGACGTTACTTCTTCGGGAGCTCCCCAGCTAGCCAGCTAATGCGAGCTAACCAGCGGTGGTCAGATATTAAAGGTCCGGGATCCGTTAACGTTTTGCCGGTTAGCCAACCCTCTACACAGTCCACCTGGCGAGGTTTCGTGCCCTACAATCACCCCGTTAAGCTTCCTGGCACTTTGTTTTGGATAACTCACTAACTACTGCTGTCAGTTCTCTGACATATCTGAACCACTGCCAGCTAGCCACCCAGGGCTACTCTTCTTCTACACACATAAAGTTGACACTATTCGCCAAGTCAGACATATTGTGATGCTGCCCTCTACTGGTGGAGAAAACACATAGTGATAAAAGGGTGTATCCCCGTGTGGTAGAGCAACGCGACTGTAGGCTTTAACACGAATAGACACGGTCTGAATAATATACCAGTTGTTATAATAGTCTAGTATTAGTATAGTGTACAATCAGAAGAGTAGCAGGGAGTGATTGAAGCATGCTGTGTCTTTGTAAGGTCACAAGAGGGCGCAGTCACCCCAGCGCCAATATCTCACCTACTGAGCACCTTTATGATAATGATTAGCTGTCCCGAGGAGCCTTATTGAAATTACATTCTTAAATGTGTAAGTATTGGATTTCTTATTAAACATTGTTGAACATGAAATAGCTACCACAAATATGTTGTCTTTGTTTTTTCATGTGGATGATCAGTGAAAGGCAGTTTGTTCTTATTTAAGATTCATGTGTTTCTTTGTTGTTTTGATAAACAGGAATATACTATCTATCTATCTATCTATCTATCTATCTATCTATCTATCTATCTATCTATCTATCTATCTATCTATCTATCTATCTACTGCAGTGTGCACATGTACAGTCTTATATATTAATGCCAGGTTTTGCTGGCAACCTTTCAACATCCAGTCTGGCATAATTATCTTTGTGAACAAAATTAAATCACAGTTATGGGTAGCAGTATGAAGGTGTGAAATGTGGAAGTCTAACTTGTTAGGTCTATTATGTCAGACACTTGACAGACGAATTGGTATCATGCTGTCATTCCTTTGCTCATGACCTCCAGCTCCCTGGACAGCTGCTGTCCAGAAGGTTGAAGCCCTGTGGCCACATACAAGGTGACTTCCTCCACTTGCTTCACCCAAAGAGACATACAAATCATTTTTAAGGTTTCAGAAAAAGACCTATGGATTGCATGAGGTTATAGTGCCAATGGCTTATTTTGCATATTGATATTTTGTCTGAATATGTCTCCTATATTTGTTTCAATATTCAGCTCAAGAGCTCAAGATAATAATTTATAATAACTATTATAAATTATTAACTGAATTCATAGGGATCTTGCTGAAATACTGATAAAGCTGGGGTCTGCTCTTTCTACCTGCATTCATTTGAATATTAAACCATGATTCATCATAATCATACCAACATGTATTAATAGTCACCTCTGATTTCCATATTTTAAGTGCCCTTGTTTTGAAAGGATAATTTTAGTCTTATGTAACTCTCATAAACATTACATAGGCTTAAATATTGATTATCCCTTTGCAGTGAAATATATAGGGTATCTTTATGAGATCAAACATGAGCTCAAACTGAAAAGAAATATTGTATATTTTAAAATGGTGAATGCTGACAGAATGTACTGTAAGCATACCAGATGTTTCCTTTGCAGTATGAACTATAATAATACATTAGGACCCCCAACTATTGCACTCATATGAATTACATTTGTATTATCATGGATGTATTTATATATGATGATGCGTTTGAGTACAGTATGTGTGTTTATGCATGTTTGAACTGGCTGTTCTAGGTCACCGAAGACACACCTGCGCCTCTCTCTCACTCATGTGCCATCCAGCTCTGAACTCTCTTCTCGGAGCGCCGACCGGCTGATGCCAGTGCTTCAGCTGCTCTGTTTGCAACCCAAGCCTCAAACTAGAGCCATCACACTGCGCCTCCCCTTTCTCCTCTCCTCTCCCCTCCTCTCCTCTACAGCACTCTTACACCATATGTCCTTGGTAAGGGAAAGACCCAAAGTCCCCCCACTGAAGATGCTGAACAAACAAAATCCTCTTTCGCTCTCTGTCCCCCCCCCACACCTCTCTCTCTCACACACACACACACACACACACACACACACACACACACACACATATGCAGAGGGATTTTGCATGTGTGCATGCACATTCACAACAAGATAGATCGATTACTAATGGGCTCTAGAGGTTGTTGTGCAAGGGCTGTGATTGTGAGTTCGCTCACCTCGCTGCTTTTTGTTTTCATATATACAAGCGCACAAGATTTGAGGATGTTAAGGTGGTATCACATTTTATGAAGTGCCCCAAAGGCATGCGCCTTATTCTGCAACAAATAAACTGTCAAGTAGGGATGCATGTTGTCCACAATCAAAGAAGTGTAACTAAAGGAAAGCGTGGCATGAATGAATTGCACTTCAAGCAATGACTTCATTCTGGTGTGCTGGTCTCATGACATGCCACTGCATCATTTACTTCTGCAAAACTTGACTCAGTCTACAAGATGGGAAAGCCTTGCTATGAGTAACATCTTGGCAGAAAACAAACGTGTTTTCTCTTGTTATGTATCCTTGTCTCTTGGCTGAACATACACACGTATTTGTCTACTGGTGGGTGAGCAAGTGAATTACATGCCATACATCTGCCTTCATGAGCATGTAATGGAGGGAGACCATCCCATTTCCACACCACCTTAATATAAATCTAATGAATGCAGCTTTCAATGTCACAGCAAAGTACAATATAGCGCTCATCTCTCCTGAGAGGGAGCGAGAGCACTGGGGCTCTAATGGAGGAGGGGGGGAAATGGCCAGAATGAGGAACAGAAAGAGAAGATGAGGAGAGCAAATGCAGAAAGGGCATGAGGGTTGGGTCAGGGTAAAATAGGTGTGTTGTCATCCCCAATTTGGTAAGATGGAGACAGGGAGGAGATAGATGGGGGATGGGGTGTAGCTGTGCCACAATTCTCCTGTAATCCTCTTCCTGAAAGCATGGGCTAGATGATGTGTGGCAGAGAGTGAGAAAAGAGAGGAAATGAGCATTTGAGAAGTACAGGAAACACTGCCAAGCTTCCAGACTGGAACAAAGGATTGTGGTGAAGACAGGGGCAGAAGGCACGGTTAGATCACAAATCCCTATTTTTCTGTGCAACATCAGGCAGGAACAGACACAGCAGTACGGTGGGAGGCATTCTTGCAAGCATAAGTGAAGCAGTGATCAGGGTAGCAATCCAAGCACATTTACCAGAGGATGGAGGGAGGGAGGCAGGGAGTGAAGGAGGGAGAGGGAGGAGAAAGAGCAGATCTATGAGAGGAAGGGGTGGTGGTGTTGGTGTGTGTGTGTGGGGGGGGGGGGTGTTGCATGCTCAGAGAGTGTGACAGAGATAGAGCGATTCCATGAGCGAGAAAGAGACACAGAGGCAGAGAGGGAGAGCACAAAGCAGAGATGGGGGGTGAACACTGAGGCAGAGGTAGTTGGGAAGACAGAGATCTGCACACAAACGCTAGCAAAGGAGAGGAAGGAGGAAGAGAGCGGAGGTTGAAGGAGAGCAGGAGGAGGGGGAGAGAGGGATGCAAGATGATGGAGCCCAGAAATAGGCTTCACAGGACAGCTTTTCATACCCGTTCTCTGCGGCAGACATGACTCTGGGCATCGGACTGTGCTGAAATTAGCCAGGGGGACAACACAGGACAGCAGGTCTGCAGCGCTCTGCCTTGGTTCAGCCTCACTGGATGCAGCAAGGCAGCTGATTTATTACTGAGGGGCTGGGTGGCGTGTGCAGCTCTGAGTGTGTGTGTGTATGCAGGTTTTTATGGGTCCTGGTAGCGCTCGGAGCTGTGGGAGCAACCATTCCTCCAGTCATAAAATGACATTCAGCAGGCAGGAGCTTTGTGTGCTGGTGTGAATCTGCAGTCCCCAGTAGGAAGTGGGAGAGTGGGATTCAGAGCTGTCATCGAGTGCAAGTGTGTGTGTGTTTACAGTGCTTTTCGCTGAGGTGAGCTAAGGAGGATCAGCTTTATGCGGTGTGTGTGTTCAGGTTAGAGTAGCAAGGGTGCAGCAAAGGCAAAGATCCTACACAATGCAAGGACGAGCGCAGAGCAGCACTGATGGCAGGCAGTGCAGGTAAAGTACAAGGAGTGCCCTGGGGGTAGGGTGGAGGACGAAGGCAGGGACAGGGGAGGAAGAGGAGGAAAGAGCGAGGGGACGGAGAGAGACAAGTGGAAAGACAGGGTGATCATGGCTGTCATGCAGTGAGCTATAGCATATGCTGTAGCGCAGAACAGAGTGGTGCGGCAGGGGGAGGACAAGCATCACCGCACAGGGGAGGGGGAGAAGACTGAGGGAGAGAGAAGGGGGGAGGCAATCAGCTCAGCACCTCTCCTCCAGCAGGAGGAGAAGCACAGTGGGACAGGCCCAGGAGAAGACACTCAGTCAAAGACGCACTGACGAGCAGTCAGGTCAACGTGTAGAGGTCAAAAAGGGAGCTGGTGCGGGACGGGGGTTGGGTGTACCCCCCACTGGCCGGCAAGTCCACAAGAGCGCAGGCCGTTCCTGGGAAGAAGAAGAAGGAGTCGAGAAGAGAGAAAGAGGGGTCGGTCCCCCAACTCCTGTTTCTTTTGACAGCCCTGCCACCTTGCCATCACCATGGGCGAATGGACCATTTTGGAGAGGCTGCTGGAGGCGGCTGTCCAGCAGCACTCTACTATGATCGGAAGGTAAGACACTGATTGATTTTGTGAGTAAAGGTTTTATTTTCTGGTTTCGTATCTGTGGTTTTGTTTATAATGTTGAGCTGAGTGGTTTTAAAGTACAGTACAGTATATATATCAGTTGATGGCATCCCTACAGAGACCCCCCTCCTCAGGCTTGTCCCAGTGCTCTCCTCTGTTCTACAGTCCCCCACAGTCATCACTGCCTCCCCCGTCCGTTCCTCCTCCCTGCTCTCCTCACCCTTATTCTCCACACTCATCATTTGTTAAGGGATGAACTAATTGCACATAATCAATAGCAGGCTTTACTGGGCATTATGGTTAATTCAGAGAGGCTCCTGTGTTGATACTACCTAATAGCCTAGCTATTGATAGATAACGCTTGATGCCGCTGGCCACAGACCAATAGGACAGAAGGAGGAGAGGGGAGTGGGAGTGAGAGGAGAGCAGAGGTGCGGAAGATGAAAGGATGGTGAGCGAGCAGGTGTGGAAGGTAGAATCAAAGGGGGAGTAAATGGCTCTGAACTCTGTGCGAACTCGAGACAAGAAAATTTATTTCAAAAACAAGTTCATTCAGTTTATTCTTAACGGCAGACACTTATTTGCATCGTAGTGAAAGTCTGATCAGATCTTTTCTCATATTTTGTGTGAGAATGGTTCGTGGTGGAGGGTTGAACAGATGAGCTTTTAGTTTGATTAGCAGTGGAGACATGCCATGGAGACATGCTGTAAAATCTGTGTGACAAACAAAAGTGCTCCACATCATCTCTGTGTGATTAATAAATGCAAAAGTGGAATTTTCCCACCCATTAAACATAATCCAAATGTCACGCTGGGATGCTCATTTGGAAAACTGAAGAGTCAAAGTGGTTTAGCCTGTGAAACCTGGATGTATGGATAAGTGGTTTGAAAATTACCTTTAGAAAAAAACAAGCCACTAAGACTATGAATTTGACTGCACTGCTGTGCTCATTAACCCAGACCTCAGGTAGTCCGCAACAAGGGCATGGCCTAACTTTCTCTCTGCTGTGTGGCTGTTTGTGAGTGTGTGTGTCTCGCTCTGTATGTAAGTTAAAGCAGTGAAAATTGGCTCTCGACTACACTGTGCACTGTGTGCTCATAGCCATTAGACTATACCCTTCAAAATCAGACAGAGATGATGTGAGCTGCATTATAGCCAAACTTCTGTTGATCAGGGATCTGAAATCATGTGTGATGGAGATTTTCCTTCCAACCAAACACTACACCAAGTCATTTCAATGAGTTCTTCTTCTGAGGTTGAAAGTGCCTTCATCAATGAAATCACCTGGTCTAGTCCTCAGATGGAATGAAAACCTGCATATAGTAGAGCATGTTGACTTGATTTAAAGATGCATTAAGCAACATTTTGTACCATTTGATTATATGACTCCCTCCTGCTTATGGGATTGGTAGTATTGCCGGTACCACTGAGAATCAACATCTCACTTTGAAGCTCTGCGCAGCTTTCCGCCATTTTCAGCTGATTGTTTTGGTTTCTGGCGCAACAAAACCAAAACAATGTCGGCTCGTGTATGACCGTGGGCAACTGCTCCCAACACAGAAGCTAAGACAAGCTAATTGTACGCGAGCTGTCCAGCGCGAAATGGCAAAGAGCCGAAGTAACTGGTGAAGAAACGTGAACGTTTAGCAAGGCAAAAAGAGAGAGATCTTTTTCTCATGAGCTGGAAGACTAAACAAGGGCTAAACGCCAGTGAATATTGGAATTACATTCAACAGGTGGCCAGAAAAAGGAGACCAAAGGGATGTCCGTGTTGCTCTGTTTCTGCTGGATTTGTAAGTAGGCAACTGTTTGCTAACATGTTAGCCATAACAACTTCATAAGCTAATTGCTAACTGTTGTGAACTTGTTCTGGAGTCTTTCCGCCCCCTAGTGGTCAAAAATTACTTAATGCAGCTTTAAAATCCAGTCCTGGCAGCTGAATCAGTAATACCCTGTGAGCACAGGGTACAAAGAATGCTGAAAATTAATCCTTGGATGATTCAATGACTGTAAGCCACCTACAGTTTCTCAGAGGCACAGAAGCAACTCTCAATTTGTCTGCTACCTCTTTCAAAAGTCATAATGTAATGGCTTCTGCTTAATTTGGGCTATTTGTTGATCATGCACTTCACTGGTTGAACATTAAAAATGGTTCCCTGAATACTTAAAATACATTTAGTAAAATGAGCAGTGCTTTCCCTGGCTTAGACTAGTCCTCTCTGCATCAGATTTTGTTCTCCATATGATAGGATCTACTAGATTAATTACCTGCTGTGTCAAAACATCCAAAATGATGTAACATTTGAAAAGTTAAATGATAATATGAATTAGTAAAGAAATCCCTCATACAGTGAGTAGTTTGTGTGATGCTTACAAGACATCAGCTATGTGATACTGTGCTGAATACAGTGGAATGCTTTGTAAATGATCCCTATGTGTTTTGGCTTCCCTCAGACTGTGTTTGTCCTACAAGGCTCTCTAGTTGACCCTAGGGCATTAGCTGTAACATTAGCTGCTTTCCAATGAGGTTCCCTCCTTCTACTCTGCTTGTTTATGCTATGCAAGTAAAGAAACATTGTCCTTGGAATCACTTTGAACAATATTTTGTGAGCATTTTAGACTGTAGATCCCTGAATTTCTTTTGACCCTTGCCAAGTCGATTTTAGCGTTGTCCCTGATAGCTAGCTTGTTTGCAGGATATCTTAAAAAATACTGGGGAATTTGTATGCAGTTTGGTGGACAGAGAGACCTTGGGTTAGATAGGAACTTATTATTTAGTGGTGGTCTGGATCTTGGCTTTTTACTTCTAGACAGGCATTTTTAGACATTAGACAATCTTAGCAATAACACAAAAACTACTAAAGATAAAGACTTGATTCCTAATCCTAAGCATGTGTCTGCATGGTCAGGAAATTAATGACACTTAAAATGATCAGAATGATGTTTTTGGATGTACCAGCAAGTTGGAGAATTGTTCACCACTGGCACAGTTTTGTGCTGTAAAGATGCCTCCTAGATTGTTAATGAGCAACTCCACACTAAATCATGTATGGAGTCAAAATTGTTGCACTGACCTCTATGGGTTGAAAGGTTCAAGTCTGTTACACCACTGACCACACCCAACAACACAGTTGGGTGTGGTCGGGTGTGGTCTGTTGCACTTGTGAACACAACCAACTGTAATATAGCGTTGCACTGTTGTGCATTGTGAAGTCCTGCACTTCACAGGGTGTGGCCGGAGCATGCAGCAACTGCTAGATGGCATCACATGTAGGATGTTCAGCCTGTGTATAGTTTCTTTTGACAGAGTTTGCATGTGTGCGCTTGCAGTTCAAAGGATGCAGTTCCAAAGTACAGAGCAGTGAGGTCTCCCCATGGCTGAAAAGTCTCCCCTGCATCAAAACTTTGGAACATGGTTGCATGTCAGTCATCTGTTTGAGTGCCAACCCTCTCTCTTGCAACGTGAGGATGTAGTTCCACCATGAGACACTGTCAGATAGCATTGTCGGATGTCTAGACTGTATAATCCAGCTACAATTAAGCTGTTTCTTAATTAAGCTGTTTCTTAATTGTAGGTTTTAAGCTAACCTATGCCCTGGCATAGGATAGATAATTAGCCAGTGTTAAAAATAGAAACGGACCAACTCTACGCAGTGGCATAGGTTAGCTTAATTATGGTCTTTGAAAGAGACAGACAATTGAGAGTTGCTTCTGTGCCTCTGACTAACCACAGGTGGCTTGCATACTATGACTCATTCAAAGATTAATGTTGTGTATTGTGATTCCCATATGCCTGACTTCTAACTGGGCAATGTACAGTGTGTGCATGGATAACCAATGACTGTAATCATGATTACACAGTGAAAGAAATCATTGTCAAGGCTGCATTAACCTCATTCTCTTACCAAAATCAAAATTACTGTATATTCACAGTTAAAATGACCCTGGGGCTTTCAGCATTAGATAACTGACAGTTCAGTATGGCCTGTAAAGTGTCTGAGTGTATCTCACTCACTGTGTTAATTAAGCAAATTCATTAAGTTTCTGATTTTGATGGGCAGAGGTAGCCTGCTGACACAAACCACCACACACCACCAGGGCTATGTGCACATAATAAAAATACTACCTCACAATGTTGTTTGGGCTTATTCGACCAACATTTACAGTGAAGCGTACTCGTACTCTTTACAATTATTCCTGCAAGTATTACTTTGTAGAGATTGTGTGTTGACTGACTTTCAAAGCAGCATGTTGCTGCAAACCAACAACAGATGATTTATAGACTTCTACACCAAAATGAACAAAATGTTTTTGTGTTGATATGCTGATGATACACTGGTGTGTTGGTATAAAATATAACACCAGCAGCCTTGATAATGTTTGCAGTTGTCTTATATCTCAAAACTTTGTACCCTTAATAATTCATTTACACAAACACACATTTACATATTTATTGTAATTCAGAAAAATGTGGACAAGAACGGCAACTGATATCATACTGTCAGTCAGAGATTTGTTGGTAGGTCTCGTGTTGTACTTGACAACAGATTCACGTATAAAAAGCTAAGTCTTGTTTCTATGATTAAAAATGTTATTATTCCTTTACTTTTCCTTTCACCCGCTTCATAATTTTTGTTTATCAGAGCAGCATTAAAACACCTTGACAATACACATTCTTGTGCAAATAAGACATATTTAATCCAGTGGGACAAGCAACTGCTTGTATACTTTGCAAATCTGCCAAAAATCAACAGTTGACTATTCAGAGCCATTCCATCATTTGTATTTGCTGGACAAGACCAGGTAGACTATCAGTTGTGAGACGTTAGTTTTATCTTCTTTAGATTAAGTTAAATAAATGTAACTTCTTGGACTCCCCTAAATAAAATCAAAATCTTCTGCTATCCATCCATTATGTGATATTTTAAACATAATTATGTGATGCATACTTCTACTTAAGGGCAATAAAATGTATCATATACAGTATACACACATAGGTATATTAAAACATGTCAAACAACATATTTTCACATGTGGTGCTCAGATGTTTAGCAGACCACAGGTGTGCATGTACGTGTATTTTGTAAAAAGAAAAGATGCGTTCTACCGTGAGAGGAAGAAGCCTTTGAGTTATACACCTTGCAGGTAGGAAGAAAGAAAGGACGTGTGTTGATGCACCTTCCCCTACACTGCAATGCTGTAGTGAGGTCAGTGCCAAAGACAAGTAGAAGCGAAGTGAAAAAAAGAGGCAGAGAGATAATGGAGGACTAGAGTGATCTAAGGAAGATAAAATAATAAAGCTTGCCGGATGGAAGGAGAGGAGAGGATGTGAGCTGTAGAGGCAGAACAAAAGGGTAGGGGGGGGGACAGAGGAAGGAAGAGAAGTTTTTCCTCTGCAGAGGTATAGTGCTGAGAATCTGTGTCAGAGCTCCTTCCTCTGGAGCTGCTGACTGACCCTGCTGCTGAGGAAACAGTCTGCACACTCACAAACTCAGTGTGTCCTCTGCATTGATGAGGATTTCTATAAATACACAAGACCTTTGTGTTTTTTTAATTTATTTCTCATTTGTGTGAACGTAATGCTCTTAATGTAGTGCTTGTAAAAGGTGAGGACGATGCCTGAGAGAAATAACATGCAATATTTACAATTTACGCAGACACAGCAATGCAGGTTTGGCCGACTAAACAGCACCTTTAATAGGACGCAGAAGCTCTCTGTTGTTGAAGCAAGTGAACTCATTATGTGTTTTGCATTACATTTGAATAAAACTAATAACTATTATAGAGAATATAATTTTCTTTTTGTTTAATTTATGTGCTCTATAGTCAATTTCTATATCCATGTACCTTTTATTTGTTTTTTCCTGTGTAACTATGTATTATTTAACATCACTGCCCACTTGAGCATTATAAATACTTCATAAAATCTTAATAAATGTTATATGGCTCTTGTTGCAAGTTACAAGTGATGTCAAGTCATTAAAAATGTATGCACATTTGACCAGCCTTTTAATGTAATGGACAAAGTGATGGATAAAATACCTTGTTGCTCTGTAGCTCTGTTTATAAAGTAAAAAAAACTGCACTCGAATGGACAGTCTTAAAAGGTTTGATGAAACCAAATATATCTACATCCTAGTTTGTTGTCTCTAAAAGCAAAATACAGATGGCAGTCTACCTCTTTGTTCCAAAGTTGTTCGCTCCTGTAGTCTTGGTGCACATATTTGTGTTCTCTCTACACTTTCTGTCTAAATAGGTCAGGATATCCACAAGAAGGAGGTACCCTACTTTGAGAAGGGCACCCTACTTCTCCCAAAATAATTTGAGATGTAGGAATGCTCTGCTTTAATTGAGGGCATCATGCTGTCTAATAGCGAACCAGAATGTACTTTGTGTATCATTAATAACAAGCTTCCTGGATAAAATCTATACTGTTTGGGAAGATTGTGTTGCAAAGGAAAACAATGGAAGCAATATTTCAGCGTTTGACAGGATTAATAATCCATCATCCTGCGGCGAAGAGCAGGACTGTCTTTCAAACGAAACCATTTTTCTGCACATCTAGAGTTGTCATTAGTTTATTTGTGCAGCAATCCCTGATGTTGAATGCTATTGATTATACTGTTCGACAGGGGGATTTTGCCAGTATAGCTGAGCTCAGCTTTCATTCAGCACAGGCCATTAGTCATTTCAGCAACACGTCGATGCTGTGTGTATGAGCCTTACTGGGCGTGTAATGTTGCCCTATATGTAGCTTAAACGTTCTTTATGTCAGTGATTTCGCCACACGTGT